ATTCTACTCATGTTGCGCATAGAAACCATTGATTACTGAAGAATTTTAGTATATTGTTTTAGCAAGAACAGTCATTCCCACAAACAACATCAACTGATGATGTTATAAACACGATTGAGCAAAGGAGTGAATGTAAGGTGTACTCAATAGTTTGATTTAGTTTAGTCTGAGCTCCAAGGCTCTTGGAAATATGATCTAGAGAAATGGGTTATTACACAGAGTGTTTATAGTGGTTCACTAGCTCGGAAGTTTGGTTAGGTTACTCTCAAGGTAGTCTCTTGTTCCTGGGGAATATATTGATAATTGAAAAGTTTACAGAAAGTATTTTAGTGAAGCTACCATTGCATATTCTCCCTGTCAAGGGCTTTGCCTCTTATTTATAGTTGTCTCTGGGCCTAACTTGATCTGAGGCTAGATTCTTGCCTATTTCTTGTAACGGTCGCCTCTATTGCGTAGCGGCTACATTGGGTGTTGGGTAGTTACGAGAATTGCTCCTGCTAAGTAATCGTTGCTATTGAGAGGGTATTTGGTGGAATTAAGCTATCATCTGCACAACCTTCCTTGAGAAGCAAACATAGGAAGTTTGAGGTCTAAAGTCGAAGTCTATAGATAACTTCGATGAACTAAGCTCGCGATCTGAGAGAGCATGACTTGTATTACTGAGCTCAACCTTGATCATATTCTTGGTACCATCAACAGTAATTCTAGCATATTCTTTGGTAGGTACTTCAAAACTGGAAACATAAGACTAGATGAACGCATGTCTTCTATGAAGGCCGTTATGGCGATTTTGTCATCGGACTCTTCAAATGAGTGAGGTAATTCTTTAAACTTTCACCCCAGTCCTACTTGATGCTGAGTAAGTGGGTGGCAGGCTTTTGGTGTTGACGTCCTCAAATGAAGTATGAGATGAAGGACTTGCTTAGTTCAGCAAAAGAGTTAATGGAAGTCGGGATAAGTTTGGAGAACCACAAACAAGCAGATCCCTTGAGGGTGATAGGAAAAATCTTGCACATGATTTCGTCCGGCATGTTGTACAACTGTATCAGGGATTTATAGGTGTTAAAGTGGTCAAGTGGATCTTCGGAGCCAACAAAAACTTCCACGGTTGACATCTTAAACTTTTGGGGGATAAGGTAGTTGGCCACATCAGCTACAAAGGGCGTGTCAGTACAAGGTATTAGCCGTTTCAGGCCTTTGCGCCTTTATGGCGTTGAAGACGTCACCGAGTTGGTTCTGTACTTTCTTGATTTTTTCGTCCCATTAGTTAGAGACACCCTCTGAAGGGTTGTTAGAGTAGCTTTTACAATCCACATATTGGTTTTTCCCCACGTCTTCTTTGGTAAAAGGGTGGCCAACGTGAAAGGACGAAGCTGGTAAGTAAAGAGGGGGAACAGGGCAGCTTGGGTGCTGAGAAGAGGCGCCCAGGCACTAGGTTGCCCCCTATTGGCTGGGGCACGACTCCTTGAGAGTGTCCGACAAGCATCAACTAGAGGATCTTCTGGTTTTGGTTCAGCAATAGCTATATTGTGTTAATAGTTGTTGTCCCACTATGAGATTTGCCACAACGACAGGGTTTACCGGTGTGGGCGGGACCTCGTTGCAATGTGGTGGATCATTATCTTCCCCTTGTTGATTCATTGATCTAATTGTAATGACCATCAAATGAAAATGGAGTAGAAAAAAATAGAAAAATAGTAGAGAGAAAACTAAGTCGTTTTCACAGATGGCGTCAAATTAAAGATACAAAAAATGTGTTTATACACCACCTAGCAAGTACTTAATGCAGTAATTAGGAAAGAGACTCAACACAAGCAAATAAAATTTAAGTGGTTCGATCAAGGTGACCTTCTCCACTATAAAGGGTTATGGTGGCTATAGTATTTTATTGTTCAAGGGGTGTAGAGTGCTCAGATGTGAGAAATGCCCTCCTTATGTAGGTGGAGTTTAAATTTTATAGGCATCTCCAAATTGATTGAGGCGCCATCCATGTAACATGTGAGATAATTCGGTGGAGGTAGCACTATTCTTGTATAGGCAAGACAATTCTATGGAGGTAGTGACGTACGCGTCCCACAGAGATCTCCTCACGTGTCAGTTGTGGATTAACTCTCTCAAGATGGCACGGCTGATGTGACTCCCTCAAGATGGCGTGCCTGACCTTACACTATCAAGATGGCACGACTGACCATCCTTATCTTCTTTCATCCTGTGATGTGCTTCGCCTATATGTTTGAGGTGGGCTTAGACTACGATTCTGGGTTGCACTTTTGAAATGGGCCTGATCTGGGATGGGCCCTTTATAAGCTAGATAAAAATTTGTGAAATCCGAATAATCGAGTCGGCTACGGTTGGATTAGTTCGGTTATGTGGAAATTTGAACACTCCTCTGCCAACGCCTCCTCCTTTCCCATGTACCAACATGAAACCCTCGCATCCATATCCTAGCCATGCGATCTAATTCAAAATCTGCATTGAAATAACTTTTAAGGGATGAACAAGAGGTGCGTCCAAGGAGGTGTGGCTGATTTGGTGGAAAATGAAAAGAGAATGAAGCGTCGTGCGACACAAAGACAGGGGAGAAAGAGAGTGAGAGAGAGAGAAATAACTTTAGGTTTCGTCTCCTTTAACAACTTTAGGGGACAAAATTTGACAAGAATGTATGTACAACAGTAGAAACCAGAAGAATAATGTTTCTTACAAAATGTTACAGACTTATTAACGAGGCACCTGGACCAGCAAACTTTGAATGTACAAGATCGAGGATTAGGATCTGCTATTTTATGGTTTTGCAATCAGAATCTCAGATCACTGAGCAAATCATTATGGAAATCTCATTCTATACACCCAAAGGGATAAGCATAAATTGCCACATAAACACTGCAGAGTTTCTTAATATTCTCTGCCTATTTTTTTAATGCCCTTCTTTGATCTTGTCGCTGGCATCAATGATTAAGGATTCACAAATGAGGATGTTACATTAATTAAGGATCCATTAAGCCTAACTTATTTCTGGGAAATGATCCGGTAGGTGTGAAAATATTGCCAAATAGACTCTTTCACGATTAAGGCTAAGGCTAAGTTCGGTTTGGGATGGGTCATACTGCATACAAACAAAAACACACTGTCTTAATATTAGTGATCCATTAGCGTGGGTATGAGAGGTAATCCTTGCCCTATCGATTAGATATCCTACATTACATTCTCTCTCATTGTATATAAATAAGTCACTTGAATTTGTCGCAAAAAAAAAAAAAAAAACTTATTTAAAGTGGTGTTATATGAAGAAGACCAGGCGGCATGGTACATTTCTATTTCCCATTTGTTATGTTTAAGGTTTGCAGCTCACAGTCTTTTCTGTATAAAAGTTTAAAATGAAGTCATACAAGGTTCCCCACTTACGTGGACCAAACCTTCAAGACACTAACAATGCATTCTCATTTTCAAATGGCAGACAAAGACTATGAAGCTGCGAATTGAGTTCTCTGAGTCTTTTTGTATATATTGCTTATGATGCACTATTTCTGGTCTAACTCAATCACTTGTTACATATTTATGCCAAAAGGGTATTTCCTATCTCACGGAAATCATCCTGTTGATACTTTTGGTAGGTCTCTCTCCCTCTCTCTCTCTCTCTCTCTCTCTCTCTCTCACACACACACACACACACACATTCAACCCCTTCTTTCCCTTTTATGATAACTACCAACAAGGGACCAAAGTTTATATGAACAAGTATAGTTAAAATCTTTCCTTACCACCTTGGATCTTTCCTGGTACAATTACTTACAAATACAAAATATTTAGTGAAGCTCAGATATGCCCCAAGGTCAAACATAACAATGTCAAAGAACCTTGTTTACCTTGTGTAACAAAAAACTGACGGAGCCATGGTATGGCCTAGGGGGCCATGGCCAACCCTCAAGTTTTAAAAATTATACTTTAGCCCTCTAAAATTATGTTTATCAACCCCAAGTTTTCAAAATAAGCTTTATATACAGCCAAAATGATGCTATGATTTCATTTTACAAGGCCCTCAATAGTTTTATATTTATACTTTATACCTTTACCATTTAATCTTGATTTTCTCTTATGCATTGACTATTATTTGAATACATTTGTTCTACTTTTTTGTAATATGTAGAAAAATAACGAAATTCACTTCTACTAGGGTGATTATGAGATAAAAAAAAAATAGCCTCAATTGTTGATGGTTTGATGACTTGATCTCAAATTGCTTACATCTAATCTTGACAAGTTTTGAGTTATGTTTTTCAGTTTTATTAAAATAAATAATTCTATAAGGCATTGTGTAAAAGTTGATTTCAGTAAATTCTATGCAATTAAGAATTTATTATAATGATAGCTCATTAAAAGGAAAATTTCATGTTATGTCCCTATTTGACCCCCTTAGAAAATAATCGCTCCGTCCATGATAACAAACATAATCTACAAAAAAGAAATAAAAAAAAATTATACAGCATGAGACTAGGGTACAATAGAAATTATCCATCACTTGGGTTTGAATCATGGCAGCCCCCATTTTTCTTATGATTCTTCTGTTCAACCAACTTGGTTTCACCTCACTTTGACTGTATAGTTTATAAAAAAATTTCATGTACAACATGCAATTGGGTCAAAACCTACTTCTAGTTGAATGGATGCCATAAGCAATTAAGTCATACTATCAAATACATAAATTACTTTGGACTATAATTATGAGTTGTTGAAAAATATTTTAGTTTTAAAGATCTTGTAGGTAGGATGTTGCTCTGCCTCGTGTGAATGTAGATGGTTGTGGTTGCATTTGTACATAAGTACAGTGCCCCACAAGCAAGCTTTAAAAAAAGGTTGGTGAGGTCATCTCTAAATAATCTTGTCAATGAGGAGATCAACAGAGAATCTCGGCATCTGAGACCCACTGAAACGTATGAAAATGTGAAAAACATATATTCTTCTTTATCGCCTCCATTGATACCGGAGAGAGAAAGCTTGACTGAATGGATGACCTTTATCCATTTTCTTCTTTACAACATATCGACGAGCTGGTGTTTCAGATCCCATCTATTCTCGGCCAACAAGACACAACCCAACAAGATCTTGTTATAAATCAAGCTTCACTAGAGGGCAGTAATCTCACCACAGGCAACCTACGAAAAAAGAGCCAGAAATTTCCAGCCATTCAAGAAAATGACAGAAGTGCCGAGGATTATAAAGAGAAAAAACTCATACACAGAGATATCGAACGAAAACGAAGGCAAGACATGGCAAATCTTTATGCTTCTCTTCGTTCAGAACTCCCTCTTGAGTATATCAAGGTGAACAAATTTCCTTTTCTCTTTCTTTTCCCACCTTTTTCTTTGTAAAATTATACTGTCGTGGTCTGTGAAATTATTTTCCATCCAAATTTCTAAGAAAAAAATTGCCCTCTCCTTCCCAATTTGATGCATTACAGATGACAAGAATTTTGGTATTTTATTTAAATGCTGCATTGCAATTCCCCCCTAAAATAAACCCAACCGCCCTCCCCTATGTGTCAGTGTGTGTGTGTGGTGTTTTTTTTTGGGGAGGGGGATAGGGTACCACTATAGTATGAAGAATTATGCCTTCGTTTGTATCGATGTTTCAGGGAAAGCGTTCATTATGTGATCACACGGATGGGGCTGTGAATTATATACAAAAGCTGCAGCACAAAATAGAAGAATTGGGCATCAAGAGAGACAAGTTGAAGAAGTTCTCCAATTCAAGTTCCGTTGGCCCCGAAAACGAGAGCTCAAGTAGTTCTATGCATAATATCGTTAAGGTCAGCTCCTGCAAGGATGGTGTTGAGATCTTGATTCACATTGGCTACATAGATGAAGTGTTCCCCCTTTCAAGAGTGCTGGAAGTTCTCCTTGAAGAAAGATTAAGTGTAGTTAGCTGTCTTTCCACCAAAAAAAATGGAAAGTTACTTCACGTTATTCGATCTGAGGTTGAGTCAACAAACGATTCACTGATATTAGTTCTAGGTTTTATATAAGTAGTTATTTTAGTGGGGAGGAACATTTTAACCTAATTTTATGAATCATCATTGCAGGTCAGTGATCTTACATGCATCCATCTATCCGGGCTGCAACAAAAACTGCTCGACCTGATCAATGACTAGTTACTTTTCAAGTAACAATTTTATTTCCTGCTGAAACCTGAACATGAATTTGTTTGTATGAACCACTGCAGCAGGACATTGATCTTGTACCATCATCGGAATTGATTTTCAAAAAGTTCTCATCGAGACCATCGTTGATATCTTTAACTACTTTATGGCTGATATTTTCAGGTAATTAATGTACAAAGCACCTTGTGAGTTTTTAGCTTGTGATTTTTATTGCCCCATGTGCGATTTTTTGTTCGAATGTTCTTATCCTCTAAATTTCTGCCCTTTAGATTGTGGACAATGGAGTCATATATGGGCAGATGACAAGGAACTGCTCATTTGATGATTCTTTCATTTGTAAGTAGCTTATCACTGATCATAATCACAAACCAGCACCATAGAGTTTAGTAAAAGAATTATATGTTGCATTTTAATTATTTTGGATCTTATCTGTATAGCCATGTCCTCCCAATCCAGAGTTTGATTCTTCATAAAATTTTACAAACCAACCCAATCTGTTTTAACAGTTAAAATGTTTACCTACTTTTCTGCACAAGAAGAAGTCGAGTTGTTCTAACCTAGAATCTTGGCAAGCAACGTGTAAATAGGGGTTTTTGATATTGTGTGTCGAATAATATCTAGTATAGTTTAGCATAGTATGTAGTACTTATGTTCATACCATGATAAAATGCTTCATCCCAAATGGAGAGATTTTGAATGTTCAAAAGCAAACTTACAAATTTGCTACAATGCTGCCTCACAGTTAAGAGTTTCTGGAAAATAAGTAGAAAGGAACATATGGCCACGTGGGAAGTGATATTACTTTATGTTGTTCTTTTTTGTTTACTTTTTTGAGATTTATTCATATATAAATATATTCCTTCATAGCCATAAATTTGTGTTGCTGCAGCATTCATCTTTTGTGGTAGTTTGATGATTTATACACATAAGGTGTGCTGAATTTTATGTGTGTTGCTCTATCCGCAGACAAACTTACAGATACGTGCTGATAATAAAGTTTTGGAATATGAAATCTAAACTAATAAAAATAATCAGACATGTGAACAACTCGAATATCACGTCGATCTTTATATCAAACTGTGCCTCATCTTGCGAGTCTCTCTAATATATCTTTGTGGTATATATAGAAGAAAAGACATAGATATTGAAAAGAGTATGGTTGCTTCATGTCCGATGTCTTACTGGTAAATCATGTTAGCAATTACAAGTACTTATGCACGTAAGTTTCTGATCTTGAAAGATGCAATCTGTTGACAATTTGAGGTTGATCTCATGCATTTTCAGTAATCTCAGATACTTTAGCATTGAATTACACGAAACGTCTGCGATCATGATCTCCACCAATAGATATATTATTCTTGGATATCAGCTGCGTGTGTAGCACTATACTTGATGGTTTCTTTTCTATTTTTTTTATATATGAGATCCTCTCTAATCACACTTTATTGAACTTGTGGCTGTAGCATATGCTCAGCATACATGCAATGCTCCAGAAACCATACGTTGGGGTTAACCAATCCTCTCTGAAAACTCAAACTTGAAACTTGGAGATAAAAGCCCCTAAGCCCTTCACACCCTAGCCAACGTGATGTGTTACACTTCACTTCTACTTGCCTGATGTTGCGACACTGAACTTATAATTACAGCTTAATAGAGGTATCCTTTTCACCCGAAATCGTGTACAGAAATCCCATAAGGAAAGTGATGGCAGTTTGAACTGTACTGGTATAGTAGAGAGGGGATGAGCCATATCAGATTCAGTTGCTTGATTGCTTGGTTTAATGTTTGCGGTGAAGGATTGTCGGTGTAGTGGTTGGACTTGGGTTGGTGTGGCCTGGGTTGTGGTTTTGTCGATGGTTTGGTCAGTTTCGATGGACAGCTGATGGCCAGGGTGATTTCGGCAGTGGCTGGTTTTGCTTGAAGGCAGTTTGCCGGTGAGGCAGTCTCGGTGGAGGATAGGTTAGGGAGAAGGTTTGGGGCAGGGTTATAGTCCGGCGTCCAATAACAATTTAGAGAAAAGAGATGCTCAAATTAAGAGCAGTGCTCTATATATATAGTCAAATAATAATATAAAATAATTAAAACATTTTTGTGGTCCAGGCAAAATATAAAATCATAACAAAGGTAAAAAAAGAAAAAAAAAACTCTAATAAATTAGAATATATTCCAACAGATTTGTGTATACCCATTTTTGTGCTTCTATGGTATGAACATTCTTTTTTGAAAGTCTGTAGCACAAATCAAATCTCGTCAAATTACAGAAGAGAAATGAACACCGCCACTGTTCTGTCTGTGAGTTTTTACACTTCTATAGTTTACGGAGAGGCTGGGATCAAGGACCGGAACTAAGATTTGATCCCGATGGAAGTCAAATATTGTTATACTTAATAGTTTTATGCAACAATTTTATTTAATAAGTTATCGTTATAGAGAGGAGCAATGTTATGAGACCTTATTTGAAACTTTATTTAAAAATTTAATGATGTGACTTCAATACAATCATTAGATTAGTTGTGAACTTTAATATTAGATAAAACTTACAACCAATTCAATAATTGTATATTATTAAGTCTCTAAATAAGATTCTCAAATTAAGTCTAAATAGCATTTCCTTATAGACAAACGTTTTTTTTTCCAAAAGGTAAATGGTATTCATAAAAAAAATTACAAGATCAAAACAAAGGGTGATGTTTACATGACAAAATGTATCCGCCCATGTATCAAAATCAATGTTTGTACACTACTTCAGAAAAAAAATTAATTTGACTCATAAATTAACAAAAAAATTATTTTATACTAATCATCATAAAATTCGGTGATTGTTTTGTTGTGTAAAACTAGGTCATTATGTTTAATTATGGGTAACTTGTGTTTGAAGATATTACAATTTGAATGATTTTGAATGAAATACTGGTGGCCTTTAAATAAATTTATTTAAGACATTCAAATAATTTTATTAAAACCTGACTTGTTTATCTTATAGATATTTACTTGACCTACCGACATATTTTGTGTTGGCCCTATGCTATGCATTGAAAATTGACAGCCAAGTAAATCATCATTTTCAAACTCGTTTTCTTCTAATGCATTTGAATTATGAAAGCGATAGCCAGAAATTTTCATAGTCAAAGATGTTGAGAGCTAGCCCCACAAATTATTTTCTTAGAATTAGGTTGTTGTGAGATCATAAGAATATTACTTTGGGTGAGATTTTTGTAATTTTCTTTTTTTTTTTATTGAAGGAGAGAGAGTTTCGTTGAGTTAGGGACGGGGAAGGTGGGGGCAATGGGAGCGCAATTGCGCCCCTCTGCAATTCAAACTTATTTGGGGTTTATTTAAAACGTTATGAAATTTACAAATTTTAAATATTTTCTACCACAAAAGAACTTGTAAAAACTTTATGAATATTTTTATATTTTCAAACTTTAAATGAAATTCTTTCATAAATTTTAGAATGTATGTGTGCCAATAGACTAGATTTTGACCAGCACTTGATTAGATTTTGAATTCAATTTAGTCTGGATAAACTGATATTTCTAACTGATTATCTGAATCTAAATCGATTATATAATATTTCACGAACTTTGATGTAAATATACTAAAATTCTATTTCATGGAATGAAATTAAAATTAAGATGAATATTTTTAAAATTCAACTTTACTCGACTCATAGATTCAATTGAATTTTTAATATTTGAATGATTCAGATGTGGAATGTAAAAGCAAAATTCATTAGATAATTGAATTGAATTCAAAGAAGATATTTTAAACTAGATTCGGAGAAGAGCTTTCCAATCATATTTAAATCACTTAAAATTTGATCCAAAATCGATTACTTACTATTAATTCTCAAAATATAATATTTTTTTATGATTATAATCTAATCGTGGTCTTCGACCTAATAATTATTCCATACTGTGGAAAAATCATCTTTCTGCCCTGATTTGTGTAATAGAATAGAATGTGAATGCAGGCCAAGAATACATTGAGTAGCATCATAAAGGTGTAGACTAATTCGTTGCCAAGAGACTCAGATGCTGAGAGTTGTGAGATGATTGGTTTAGTCTACTTTGCTGTCTGGTCTATACTAGGCATCCTAGTTATAAACGTGTTTCTCATTGGGGGGGAAAAAAAAAGACAGCTCAAAGGAAAAAGTAAAAGGTGCCGTTAAGCAAACAGTTTGATTATAAATTTTCTAATCCCCCAAACAAAAGAAAAGTTTTTCTGAACTTTTTGGCCATTTGTCCTCTCTTGCTATAACGATTGCACTATTATTTAGTGTCGAAAAAGCATTTTTTTGTTATAATACCTCCAAATTAGAGATTGAAGTAGGCGGAGGTAGGGAACTAGTTTCTATATTTATACTCGCTTAAAAAATTTTGTTCATACTTAAGTCACATTTATAGACGGGCTTAATTTTAATCTCTACCCCCTCCCCTGTCTCTACCACCTGTCCCCCGCACATAACGCTCAACTATCTAGAATGCATTGATTTATGGTTTTAGACCTAGTCAATAACTACTTTTCTTCTTTTTGACATTTTGTCAATCACGTAATATGCATAAAAAAAAAACAGGGTGAAGGCTATATTTTTCTTTTTATGTGTTGGTGTGAGTGATCTAGACAACTGGTTGTTATGCATTTTTGTATGTATTTGAGTGTCTACTGATGGGACTCTTCTGAAAAAGCCTATGATGAAGACACGTGTCCTCGGGGATTTCTAAAACAATGTTGCTCGGGGTTCAAGCACCATCGGCAAAGCTCCCTCTCCCCGAGGTACCTCTCATATAGGATCACATATTCGGTACAGTATACAAATACATGTGTCCTCGGTCGCCATGTACCTCGGGAACACACCAACCTTGGTCCCCCCGAGGTCAGTCTTTCCTCGGCACCGAGGGTCACTCCATCCTGGACGCTTCCTCTACTCCCGGATGAAGCTACTGACAAAACTGGACATCAGCCTATGCCAGTATGGACTAGTCATCATGATCTCTTCTTACACAAGAAATGTCAGAACATGCTGGGATACAGAAGTCGTAGCCAATAAGTGACGGGCGCGTGGCATATGATGTCACATCAAAAACAGGCAAACCGCACGCTATTGCTGACATGCGCTTTGGGAAGCAAACAATTAATTGCACCCTTCTGTTGACGAGACCGCATTCAATGCGGTAAGGTTCGGATATGAAAGGCAATAAATGCTCCTATTACAGAGCATTTATTGCATCCTTCCCGAAAGGAGCATATTGTACCGTCGGCGTCCCGAC